GCCACACACTGTCCTGTCCAGCCCCCCCTGGACATCCCATCCCCCACCTGCCACTCCCCTCGCATGCTGCCAGCCTCTTCCTCTTTTTGGGTGGAGCCTGTTCCCATGGTGGCGCTGGGAGCCCTGGTACCAGCTGCTGCTGGACCCAGCCCAATGCCGAGCCCTGTAGAGCACAGCTCTGCGTCCCGGGCCCTGCCAGCTCCGCCATGGGCACAGAGGGATCCCGGACAGGGGAGACGCCAGCGGGGGCCAAGGATCCAAAAATATCAGTAGTGGCCAGTTCCAGAGCTCCCTGGTGGGAAGGCACCTGGGCTAGTGAGTCAGAGAAGGGAGCCAGGACTCCTGGGTTCTCTTCCCACGCTGTCCGGTGGTTAGAGCAGGGGCAGGAGCCAGGACTCCTGGGTTCTACTCAAGGCTCAGCCATTGACTCACCATGTGACCTTGGGGGAGACACATCCCCTCTCTGTGCTTCAATTTCCTCATCTGACCAACCCCCCAGGGCAGGTGAGGTTCAGTTCTGGAGTGGAGCCCCCCTTGGGTGGGGGGCTGGGGTTGATTCTTCTCAAACCCAGTTCTGGCCACAAGCCCAAGGGGGATCAGCGTAGAGGTGTCTCGAAGGGCCCCCCGCCATGCTCCCCCCCCACTACCCTGTCCCTGTCAAGTGGCTGCTTTGGCATTGCCCATGCAGAATGAAGGGGGGGGGCTCATAGTGTTGGGGATGGGGGGTGGAGGTTCAGGGCCCCAGGCTGTCCTGCAGCGGAGAGCCATGAAGCCCGGAGAGGGAGGTTTGAGGTCAGGACTCAGCTGTGTCAGTTATTAACAATACCGGTGACTGTCATTGCCTGGCCCTGCAAAGCGCTAGGAACCCAGTCAGACCCCTTCTGTGCTGAGCCCCCGGCAGGCGGAGCTGGAGCTGGTAAACCAGGTGTCAGGCATTCTCCTGCCAGGCCGCGAGCGGCCTTGGGTTCAGACTGGCTGGCTCCGGGGGGGAATGGGGCACAGGGTTTTGCCCTCTGGGGGCACCAGCTGGGTTCCAGCCCCAGGTCACGAGTGACCCAAAGTCATCCCTGCCCGGGGTGCGGAATGGGTTTGGGGGTCTTCGGTCAGTTCCCGCTTCCCATCACAGTCAGACCCTTCGTGATTAATCACCTCATCTATTGCCCCCGCGGTAAAGGTCAGGCTGGGGAGACCAGGACGCTGGGGCGTGGGGCAGCTCTGCCCTTGGCCCCTCACCCCATCAATCCCCCTCCCAGGCTGGCTTGGTTCTTTGGTAGGAGGACACCTTGCCCCGGGGGTGGGGTAGCCATGTAAATGCACCTGCCCTGGGGAGGGGGGAATTAGGGTTATTCTTTCGCTATTGTTTTAATGTGGGGTGTTTTTTTGCAGCACTGTGCCCTCGCCCCACCTGCCCCCCCTTCCCCCATTTGGGGCAGGTCCAATTTGATCCGTTGCAGAGACTGGGCCAGGAAGGAAGGAACCAAGAGTCGACCTGTCCCTGAGGTTGGGGGCACTTAGATCCCACGGCAGGCTCCTGTCTCCCCATAACACCCAGCCAGCGCAGCCAGCTCGCCTCCCAGAGCACGGGGCTCAGAGCTTGACCCCCCCCCCCCTCCATGGCTGTGCATGACAAGGCCTCGCTCTCCAGCCTATCTGCATTTCCTCCTGATGGGAAAAGCACCCGCAGGAAGCCGGAGTCCTGGAATTTCTGAGCCGTTCTGTGCAATCTCCGGACTTCCCCCGGCCGTTCCCCGGCTGCATGGCTCACTCAGCCCTCCCCTTCCTTTTCCCAGCTTGGGCGCTTGCCACCGGTCCCAGCCAGGGCTTGGGCCTCACGGGAGGAGAGGGGATTTGTGGAACAAATGGCCTGGACTGGCACAGGCAACTCCATCCCGATCTCTCCAGGGTCTGGCTTGGCCCAGGGCACCAGCGCCTCCTGCTGGGAGAGTCCAGGCCTGCAGCAGCTGCTGAATAACAGGGGACTTGGGGTCTTCACAGAAGCCGCATCAGCCCCCACCTCTTTTCTGATGCCCTATGGTCCCGAGCAGACGGGCAGCGGGGGCGAGACAGCAAACCAGGGCGTGCTGTCCCATGGCTGAGAAATAACCACCCCCCTCCTGCCTACTCCAGTCCCGGTCTCTTCCAGCAGGAGGTGCTGTACAGACAGGCTAGCCCGGTGCACTAGGTGCTAGGACGAGCCAGACCCTGATGTGTTCCAGGCCAGCAGCTCCCCTGTCTAGAGCAGGATCGTTATGGCCTCGGAGGGACCCCTGGAAAGAGTCAGGTTCAGATCTGTTCTTCTGGAGGCCGCTGAACAAAAGCTGCCAACCTGCCAGCCCCTGAGAGAGCCACTCCCCGGCCCCTGCCCCCAGCTGCCAGCCGGGGGATTCATTGCCAAGGGATTTGCATGGGTGAGTAGCAGCAGCGCTGTTTACCGTCCAGGCTGGAGAGTACCTGGCAGGCCCCAGGTATCTCGCTCTCCCCTCTCGTGCTAGGGGAAAGTCCCAGGTCGCCTTCCCAGCAGCCAGGCTCCCTTCCCAGCAGCCAGGCTCGGTCACACGGAATCCGGGATCGGAAAGTGCCTCCTAAAAGGCCTAGAGAGGTTTCCTGTTTCCATCCACGGAGCTGACTCCCTGGCTTCTTTCTAGCTGCATCAGCTCTAAGTGCCTGCCCTGCATGCCCCAGTCAGCCTTTCTGAGTTGTCCGAAAGCGCTTACCCAGCGCTGTTCAGCCACCAGCCTGATGGGGAAACTGAGGCACAGAGATGGCTGCAAAGTGACTGACCTGTGATCACACAGCCAGTCACGGGCAGACCTCCAGGAGTCCTGACTGCCAGTCCTCCACTCTAACCACTGGACAGCACTCTCCTCCCACTGCTTCAATCACATGCCCCCTACCGGAGCTGGGAACAGAACCCAGAAATCCTGACTCCCAGCTCCGCCGCCAACTGCTAGACACCGCTCTCCTCCCAGAGCTGGCAATAGAACCCAGGAGTCTGGGCTCACAGATCTCGCCGCCCCCCCGCCCCCCCGGCCCTGGACTCATTTCAGGGTGACGTGCATGGTGTGTGTGTCTGTGGCGGGGGTAGTTTTCCTTTCAGACAGTGAACTAATGGGCGATCAGTCCCGAGAAGCGGGGGCCTGGGGTTGTTATCAGACCAGTGACGACCGCTGGGCAGGAAGGGCAGAGCGCTGAGTAATGGAGAGTTTGGAGCAGCGCCCGTGGGGAAAGCCCAGATCCTTCCTCCAAGCTCCCCTGGGCAGCCAGGCCTCCCCGCTGCATGGAGACGGCTGGGGCTAGCACAGAGTCCATGGGGCTGGCTCCAGCTCCTTGTGGGCACTCAACACTGTGCAGAGCCACGTGGGCAGCCCGAGGAGCCAGGGTTCAGCTCCTCCGTGCCGCCACCCTGATTGCTCTGAGAGCCTGTGCCCAGCTCACCCCAGGATCAGAGGCTGAGGCGTGGGCACAGGGATGAACAGCTGGCGGGGGGGTCCTAAGCAGTGCCCAAGGGTCGTGCCGTGGCTACCCCGGTGCCCAGCCAGTCGGACCTGCCATTCACCCAGGGAGCCAGGTTGCAATTTCCGTGTTAAACTTTAGCCAGGTCCGGGCCTGTCCAGCCTTTCCTAACAACCCAGCCTGCCGGGCAGATAGCCCTCAATGCGTGGGGTGGGGCTGGTGGGATTGCGGTGCACAGCCAGGACCCCCAGGACACAGTGACAGAGCCTGCTGCTTTATCTGTCCTGGTGCTGCTAAAACACCCCCCCTGCCCCCATGCAGATGCCAATACACGGGGGCAACAAGGCTTAGAGCACTGTAGCTTATTCCAGTTCAGGAAGGGAAATGAGACGGCGGGAGGCACCTCTGCACCCCAGGGCTCCTGCTGGAAAACTGTCCCAGCACAAACCAACACAGTTACCCTGGTCGAACGTCCTAGTGCAGCCCAGTCCTCAGAGGGGTGGGGGTGAATCAGGGCGGGGGGACCCTGCTGCTGCTGCCAATTCAACTCTGCCCCAAAACGTGACATTTAAAAAAAA